TCAATCCAATTGAATGAATGTTCGGTCGCTTCTCATGGCACTACCATCACTTCGACCGTAATAAACGCTGTTAGTAGAACAGAACTAGTATGGAGCTGATAAAAACGGTATAAGAAATGAACATTTGTCGCCGATAGATCAACCAATATAACTGAGAAGACAGCCGGTGACTGCTACCGGTATAGAATAGCAAAAAACTACTGTTTACATGTCTGATATACTCAGTGTTTTTCTTCGAAGTATATGGAAACCTTCATGGAATTTATAAAAATTGTGGGTGATCAATGTCTATAACTGTGGATGTTTGTAAAAGACGCGAAAACCCACGAAGACCCCAAAATCAGCAACTGGCATCATCAGTAGATAGGGCTTAGTGAGCTGACTGTACGAAGGCATACAATTCCCAATGTGTTTTTGCCATTAGTAGGCTTACTTGAATTAGGTACACATCCCAAATTTCAGACTTGAGGGTGTGGGTGTGGTTGTGGGTTTGCATATGGTTTGTGAAAGGCATGCGACATGTGTTCTTGATGGGATGAACTGCTGCTTTATGGTGCAACGTGTGAGTGCATGAATTTCTGAGTCTGGGCACTTTTTAGAGGGCATGGTAAATTCCTATTTCCAGGAAATTCAAAATGCTCTACATATAGTATCATTAATTTGTAATACGTATATGAAGATGTGAATACAACCCATGAATACACTTTAGGTTTCTATAAAATCATGACATACATTTAAGTATTTAATGTGTGAATCGTTTATATACCAGTATCAATTTTCTCTCATTATATATATATATATATATATATGGGGTTGATCAGTCTGGCCGGAAGACCAACGTTCTTTTATGGCATGTGGTTTGCATAATACATCAGAGAATTATGAATTTTTTTACTAGTTTTACTACTCGCACATTGCTGATGATCGATCAAGTATAAGGGGTTTATACCTTGTTTGAAGACAAAAAAATCAAAGTCTTCAAACTAAATCTAGTAGTAAATCGCCAAACATGTTTTGAAGACCTTAATTGTTTTGGTTTCAAACAAGGTATAAACCCCTTATACTTGATCGATCATCAGCAATGTGCGAGTAGTAAAACTAGTAAAAAAATTCATAATTCTCTGATGTATTATGCAAACCACATGCCATAAAAGAACGTTGGTCTTCCGGCCAGACTGATCAACCCCATATAT